CCAGGAGTGACCAGGAATAACGGTCACAAGCTGGCAGAGGGTAGATTTAGGTTAGATATCAGGAGGCGCGACTTCACGGTCAGGGCGGCTAGGGTCTGGAACCAACTTCCAAGAGAAGTGGTGCAGGCTCCTACCCTGGGGGTTTTTAAGAGGAGGTTACATGAACACCTTGCTGGGGTCGTTTGACCCCAGTACTCTTTCCTGCCGTGGCAGGGCGTCGGACTAGATGATCTGCTCAGGTCCCTTCCAACCCTAGACACTATGAAGGAATCAGCAATACCGTTACAACTGCACCCACACAAGGGCATGTACTAATAAAAGTCCTTAGGTAAAGAGCAGATCATCTCCCGTGTATGAAACATCCTCTCATCTGCTACAAGGGTGCAGGAGATTTGTTAATACAGTAGGCAATACTGAATACAGGAAGAAAAAGGAATTTGGGTGGATAGAGGGTTTCCAAAGAGCATTTGAGGCAGTTGCAGAGCATTAGCACCACTACTAAGGCACTTTATTGGCCTGCTTAAAACCCCCACAACTTGCCTTTGAAGCGCATTGATATCCTCAAACCAACATGGACCTGATGGGGTTTTTGTCAAAGCAGCGCCTGAAGGGGCTCACAGGAGATGACTGCAAGATACAGTGGTAAATAGTGGCACAGTTACAGAGTGACTTGTTTCATAGACTAGACAAGTACTTCACCTCTGCACTTGGGAAGACTAGTCCCCACTTAACAACACTAGGCTCCAGCCTTGGCTAACCACACATTTGCAAGAAGGGCTGTGTGGTCATTGTAGTTCTCTGTGTGTCTATGCTGCTGCTAGGCAGGCAGTGTTTGTTCCCTTGAAGACCTCCATGTTGTAGGTAGAGTTACTAGAGCCTAGGTTAGATGACAAAGGCTCAGCCAGGTTCATTACCTACAAAGCCCCTATTTACTAACATGCATGTCCAGGGGGTTACAAGCCTTGGGTGCTTGTGGCAAGGCACAGGCACAACTCCCACATTACAGCTCCACAGGTTTCCAGTCACCCTCTTTTACATTGATCAAAACAACTGCTTACATCAAACATTTGCATAACAAACATCGATCTCTCTACCAGACCACCCTAATCCTTCTATCTCCCCCCCATTATCTTGTGTGTTGTGGACTATCTGGCACTAACCTGAACGATCACCCTTGGCAATCAGCCTTATCATCAATCAGCTTTGCCAGGGGTCTGTAAAGCCTAATCTTCCAACCTAAGCCCCGACTGATGTGTGCAAGGTCAGTCTTTGGCGAGGCCTGCTTTGGTCAATGCTCGAACAAAGCCTTTATGTCAGCTGTATGTGCACTGCTTGTATTAATCAATACTCCAGCAAAACCTACCCTGGGATGCACAGACCAAGTGGGGACACAGCTGTGTAAGAGGAGCAGGGCTATCAGTAGTCAGAATCAAAAGGGAAATCTTGGGAGGTCACCAGCCTGGATGAAGCAAGAAAACAAATCTTAGCAAATGCTTCTGCCAGATTTTGGTAAAAAAGACCCTTGGATCCAGAGTCCAAAAATATTATCATGGGAAGATTTTAGGCAGCATTATTGGGTTATTAGCATGTAACCAAGGAAAAGATGACAGATGGTCTTCAAGAGATGATAATATCATGGAGCAGAATCTTTACAGGAAGAAGAAAGGTTTGGTCAGGAAAAAGATCTGAGACTGTGTGGCGAAGAACAATTTTCATACTAGTGGAATTCCAGGATTCAAGGCTGGTTGGAAGTCTGCGATGGCTGGTTTGATGTCAAGGTCCAGGAAAGATGCTACTGAAAAATGCATCCAGAAGGATGTACAGAAATAGTCAGTTCTGTATTTTGAGACAAAAAACAGAAGCTTCTTTACTTACAACTACAGAGTTGTGGGATCAGAGTAGCACATATCAGACATGGAATCATAAATTCCTCCAGAAAGAGAAGTTGTAAACCCCAAAGGTCTTCAAGTCCTTAAGGAATTGCAGTGCATCAACCTCAGCGATAAAAATCCTCAGAGGAGGGATCCTCCACTGTTTTCTACACTTCTTTAAGAATTCAGAGCCTTGGAGCCAAGAGGAATTTCTCGTGAATACATCTATGGCCAAGAAACAGATCTACAGGAAGGTTTTGGCCATCAAACGACTTGGAAAGAAGGGTTGGAAATGCGTTTTAGAAGCTGACGGCAGATTTTTTCTGTAAATGGTGAAAGGTGCTTGTAAAAGCAAAAGTCATATTGTACAACAGGATTTGGTAGTGGGTAACTCTTAACTGCAGGCTAGAAAATACAACTTCCTCCTCAGCAGGTCCAGCCTCCTTGCTTTTCAACGTGCTGCCAAGCTGCTTTGCCTTCTCATTAGCTGCAACAAGAGAGGTAGGACTGAGAACCCATTGCCCATAGAGAGGACTCTATGATGTTTGTCCACC